AAATAAAGTACAATGAATAGTAATTGCCTTAGACTTGCCCTAGACTTTGCCCTTGTGGGTGGAACCACAACTGCAAAGGCTGACACTATTTACGTGAATAGTGACAGCCCTTACTTGCCCTTGCCCTAGACTTTGCCCTTGTGGGTGGAGATGCTCTTAGAGCACTTCCAGCAATGGACTGCAGCTCGGACATGACAAGCCCAAGTTCAGGGAAGTGCTTCCAACTGGCCTCCTTGCCTGGCAAGCGGTGGGACCCACGAAAGTAGGCCAGCCCGCACCTCTAGTCTGGGTTTGCTGAAGTTAGCGGTGATGTCAGCAACCAAAAAAACTTAAAAAAATCTATTTCATAATTTTTTTTAAATAAATACTTCATTAAACTTTCTTTCGTCCTCTCCCAAGTTCACATTATGAAAAATTCGTTTGTTTGTTTTCTTTTTGTGAAAATATTCTCTCAAAACGTTACCATGGGGCCCTAAATTGGTTTTGGGGTTTGGGCCGCGACCTAATGGTTGCGTGTGAGGCCGCGGGGATACTGACGGACTACTGGCCTGTCACCCTACCAGAAAACCCACAGCGCAGAGCTATGGCAAATGGGTCGTTAGCAGCCGTCAGATGGAAGCGGAATGCTTGGAAAAAATCTCAAGCGGGGTAAATGACCGAGTGACTTACAGGCGTCGTTCTCTGGTGATTCGCTTTCGATGATTCATTTCCATACGTTCGTATCTTAGAATTATTATTGGATTAGTATTATCAGTAATTAGGTTAGATTAAAAGAGGAGGGAAAATGGAATTGCAAATGAAGGTGGCGCAGGCGGTTCACGTCCTGAATCACGATACAGAGTCGTGCAACCGTGTGGCAGCAAATCAATGGCTGGTTCAGTTTCAGCAGACCGACGCCGCTTGGGAGGTCGCCACCTCCATCCTCACATCCGATTTTCACCACTCATTCGTCTCCGATTACGAGGTTGAGTTCTTCGCTGCCCAGATTCTTAAACGAAAGGTATCTTCTTCGTCCTCTTCTCTCATGATGTTTATTAGTTAGCTTGCTACAGTTTATCATTTGCTTCATTCGGAGTCGATAAATAAGGATAGGAACTGCAACTTAGTGGTGTATCGAGACTTATTTCACCGCATCTCCGCGGCCCACTTGGGCGTGTTACTTTGCGGCATTCTCTGTCATTCACGGACAAATCAACTGATTAAACATAAAATTTATTTTTCATCTTTGTTTAAATTTATTTATTTGATGTTTTTATCTTGTATTTTGCTGTAGAGGCATTCAGCATGTTTCAGGAGTTAATGAAAATACATTCTCATGTTATT